CACGTCAAACGGAATTGCCTCTCGAAATGAAAAAAGTTTTTTAATTTTACACATGCTGCGATTAAGATGTCAAAATGTCAATTGTTTCCAAAAAATATACAAGGAAACTATTGCAGTTAGTATAGTTATTTTTACAGTGAAGTTTTGCTTTTTAATTCTGTATAATTTCACAATAAATGAGAATAAGTTTTCTAATATTAAAGTCCGAAGTATTGTAAAATTTAATTTTATATCCTTCTCCTCACCCCAAAGTTTAATCAAAATACCAGCCAAATATTTGAGATATTAACGACGCGTGCTGTCAATTAATCCGGGGGTCCAGTACTTTGATCTAACGAAAGAGTTAAGATGGAAGACCCAGACAACCTGCCATGTGCCGACAATTTAAGCATGAATTAATTGAAATGCCAGCACACAAAATACAAAATTTACACCCCTCCCTCTCTGGGTAAAATTCTATGCATGGGTTATGGCTACTTTGACGTATTTGCCGTTCATAATTAGCTTCATTACTCATTCATCTTTGCATTCATTCATTAGAAACCAATTGACAGTTTAATTAAGTTTTCGCCTTTCGTCCCTCGTTTGTCTTCGCTTTGCAGCCGCTGCCAAACTTTTGCGCAAAATAAAAAGTTTAAACAAAACGGCATGAAGGGTGCAAAGAGTGGAGGTATGAAGGGGATATACACAAAGTGGTGGCCGGCAGTGGCTAATTGGCACCCAATTAGGCATAAATATTTGGCTGTGTGGGCAATAAAACAATTATTCGTGGCATACTTCATCGCAGAGCTGCGCTTTTGACTCCTCACTTAGGGGCCTTCCGAGAACCGGACTGAAAGCTGCCTTTGACCTTCTCGACGGGGTTCTGGGCTCCTGATTAGGTTCCCTAATTGAGCATAGTTAAAGGCATAAGCTGATTGTGGTGGAAAAATTAAAAGTTCTAACCAAAAGGGTTTAAAAGCAGAAGGAGTGTTGGCTAGAATCTAAACTTTATTTGGGTTGATGGGCTAATATTAAAATGAGATGAAAGAGTTAAATGTTTGGAATTTATTGTTGAATTCAAATATACAAAATTTCTCATAACTTTAATTAAAATCCGCATTTTATTTTTAAAATTCAAACATTATTGCATTTTACTAAATTAAAAAAATTAATATTTATTAATAAAAATCTATGTTAGCTTAATAGTATTATGGTATTTTTTTTATCTACTGAAAAGTGATGTGAAGATTTAGTTAATATTACAAAACTACAGTTCTTTTAGGCATTTTTTTTTACCAAAAAAATCTTTTTCCTTATAACTAACATCAACCGTTTTTACCTGCATTTTGTGCCGGAAACTCTATAACTTTCATTCACAAATTATAGTAAATGCCGTTCTACTCCACTTTAAACTTGAATTCGGGGCACTTAGTACTCGTTTCATGCTCCTCCACCGCCGACTAACATTCAAAGTTGGCCGCATCAAGCCACATTGTTAGCGCTAACTACCAGGAAAGGCCTCTGGCGTTTTCTGTTCCAGGCTGTGTCCTGTTAATGAAATGTCGAATCCTGAGCAAGGACCGCGTTCACCCTCCCTCCACCGACCATTTTACGTGTGTGCTTGTGTGTGTGGGCGCGGCTTGTTCGCGAAAGTTGATAAAAGCGCCGCGAGACAAATTCTGATGTGGGTGGTATGCCCATGTATGTTGTATGTCCTTACCTGCGATGAGGACGGTGGGGCATGGGGCATGGAGATGCGGCCAGGATGCTGTACATCAATCTGCCGCTGTTGCCGTTTCGGTTGCATGTTTATCGTGTTTGCGGCTCATTAAATGCGGCTCATTAGGCCCGGTCAGAGTTCACAGCCTGTCTCTACTGGATGTACTGGCTGCACCGTCAAGAGGCTGAGCTCACTGCTCATCCTGGGCATCTCGAACCGTTTTATGCTCATGTGTGTACTAGCTGGCAAATTAATATGATTTTCGATGCCGTTCTGTTTATACAGGATATATCGAAATCCGAAAGTAGCAATCATGTCAAATATTATGCTCGAAATTAAACAAAAACAGAAGCGTAATCAGAATCTTTGCCACAGATGAAGTAAAGGCAAGTGTATATTAGGGTGGGCCTTGTTTGCTTACATAAAGTACTCTTAAATGCATTAATATATCATTTAAAAACAAAGAAAATTGTAAAAGATATAAACCAAAATTTTAGTTATAAAAAAAATTCCTTTATTCCAATTTCATTTATTTCTTCATTTCTTATTATTTCTATGATATATAACTATTTTGTCATTAAATTCCTCTTCTCCATACAAAAAATGTTAAAATAGTTTGTTAATATTATATTAGTCAGGTACACCCTAAATAGCAGACAGAAATCATTCGAAGCCAGGCCAAAATCCAAATGCAGGTCCTAATTGAAATCGACTATGTTGATCATGGGCCCCTCTTCCCATTCCCGTACACGTTCCTCGGTCTTCTGCCGATGACAGATGTTGGAGAGAAGTCTGCTCCTTTCCTTTCTTCCCCTTTGATGAATTGATGCAATGTTTAGGCCTTTTTATGAGCCAAATCCCTGTGTCCGTGTGTTTGTCTGCCCGTCAGTGTGTTTGTGGCTGACAAACAGCTTAAAACCTTGATGGACATTAGGCTACCAGAAGGGTGGGTGTGGCGGAGGCCCAAACGAGGTGGGTTGTTTTACATTTCAACGTCTGTTGGACCAAAACCAAACCAAACCAAAGTCCGAACCAAACGAACGATGGAGAGCGCAAACAAATGCGCTTTGAGGCCTTTCACTCACTTTGGCTAGGTAGCAATTACTGTTTGTTTATGCATTTGTTATTGTTGCCGTTGCAGCCAAAGAAGTAGAATTGAAATTTGAAATTCATAATTCAATTGAAGTTGTGCTTGGCTGGCAGCATCAACAAAGACCGAGACCAACAAATGGAATTACACAAATAGCACAGAAAGAAATACAAATTTTTTTATCTTGGTTTTCGGAAAAATTCTTCAGTTAAAGATCACGGAATGTTTGGAATTGGTTATGAGTATTATTTTCCCAGCTTTACAAGTTAGTTGAGGTTCTTAATAAATTTCAGTTTCGAAGTAGCTTAGTATTATTCAATAAAATAGAAGAAATTAATTTCACTTGATAAATTTTTAAAGTGAAAAATATGTGTATATTGTAAAAAATATGTAATTTGAATAAAGATAAAATGTTTTTTCAACTTTCAAGGGAATTCTAAAATTTTTGTATTTTTTTTAGTTAGGTATTTTAATAATCTCATCTTAATTTCCTTCTGTGCACTGATGCTGCCGCAGAAGGGGGCGTGGTCGCCAAGGGCGGACGTGTATGTGTGTTAATTGAATGCAGTTGCAGTTGCAGCAGGAAAGCAACCGAATGCATATTGGCAACTGGAATTTCTTTGATCATTTGGCCGGAGAAGGAACGAAAAATGTACGATGGCAAAAAATGCCAGCTCCTTTATATGCAAACGTCCATTTGCTGACATTTTGTTTAAAATGCATAAATCATCAAATGCTGCAGTGTCATAAACGAAGCAATGCACAAATACACCGAGACAATAAATAGATATGCGCTTGCATACGAAAATCAAACACGGGATATTATTATTTTGTGAGCTCGGCAAAAAGCAACAGAAGCAATGAGCAAAAAAAAGGCAAAAAATGAGGAAAATAGAGAAAAGAATTCAACTAGAACGAGGCGAAACTCGAACTCTCTTCGCCAGTTGCAATAAATCTGCTGGGGCAGTCATAAATATTGATTTCGAAATTGTCCCTTTGCATGGTGTATCCTTGTGTGTGGGTGTGTGTGTGCCACGCCCACTCCGACCCACTTCACTTAGATTTGTCGCTCATATTAGCTGCAGAAATGAAAATCGTTTTCCAATCGTATTCTTGTCGTTTACCTTTTGCTCTTGCCGCTTCCGACCCCGCTTTTCCCATTTTCCCACTGCCCTGTGTTCCATTCAAGTGTAATTTGCAGTTGCTTTGCCTGTCGTTGTTATTCTTTTGCTGACAAACGTCCTTTTGCCATACCCTTTCAGATTCAAAGTCCTGCTTTCTGAGTAATCAGTAGAAAACAGTAACATTCACCGAGAGTTCTTAAATTTAAAATCTTATATATATTCTCGAACAGGTTAATCATATTTCTAAGATTAAATAAATTATGAACAGCTTCTTTTATTTCTATTTATATTATTATACATTTTTTTTTTGATTATCATCTCTTTATTTATATTAAATTTTATTTGATTCAAATATTTTCATAAAAAAAATGTAATGGTATTTCAATATATTTTATAATTTTATGAACACTGGTCAATTTAGGATAAAGTTTGAAAAGAGCATTTAGCACTCGGCTTTGTCCTAAATTTTCTTCTCGAGTGTTGAACTCAATATTTTCAATATGATGGCAATCGGTTTTTGCGTTTGATGCTTTCGTCATTGACCGTCAATGGTTCCCATGGATTCATCTTGTGTCGCTCATCTTGAACCATTGTTGTTGCCTTTTGTTGTTTCTACCGCCGTTGTTTGGTAGAAAAGTTTCGAATTTATGATCCGTCACTGACTTTAGAATTATGGCCAATGCTTACTGGCAGGTGGTTTGCCAGTGGAACAGATACTCGCCAAGAGAGAAAGGGTAAGCTATCCAAGGGTCGACACATATGGGTCTGGGTCCAGACTGAAATTGAAATTAAAGTCATAATTCATTGCGGGCACGAGTCATGGGCGTTGACTTCGGCTTGAAGCTGCCACTGGTCCAGTTTCTGATTCTAGTTCTTAGATGACACACGGAAAAAAAATATATGGAACAAAATGTCTCGGGAATTCCATCCCTGCAATACGAACAAAAATGTTATCGATGAGGAGCTGAAATTATTTCTTTCTTGTTAATAAGAGAAATAAAGAAGACTGTCAAGTGCACTCTTATCATCTTCTGAATAAATGAAGTAGACCTCGAGCTCAGCTCGCGACGTAGAATCAGTTGTGTCGAGGATTTTCACTTGGAAAGATGGGTACTGTACGATGGTTGGCTGTTTGCACTATTTTGCTGTTTCATCAGGGATCGACCCATTTTCTAGATGCGGATTGTGGACTTGTGAATTCTTTTGACAAGTCTATTTCCGCTCCTTGGTTGGCCGAAATTTGGAGCGGTTCTAAGTTCATTTGTCCTGGCACTCTTATAAGCAAACGTTTGTATATTATCAAGAACTTTTACTTTGGATCTTTACTATTGTATTTATTTTTTAGGTTATGTACTGGCTGCAGCAAGTTGTATAATAAATTTAAAAAAACCGTAAGTTATTAAAACAAAAATCACCTAAAATAAAATGTGTAAATGAAATTTTTTTCACAGCGTAATTCGTTTAGGAAAAAGCAAAGATAAGAACAGCTATACAGACTTCAATTCAACAGAGGGCTACATTCACTACTCATATTCCGAAGATAGGAAAGAGAATAATATAGGCATGCTTAGGTTGGAAAAGGAAGTTGAATATAGTATCTATATCCGACCAATATGCATTACTACTAAGCCTGACAACCACAAAAACAGGTTTACCTTTGAAGAATTGATTGAGAAGCCAGATGTAGGTTTTTTTTGCGGGTTGAGTAGATCTTGTGTTAAAAACGAAAATGCCGTTAAACTGTTATCCAAGCCCATTGGTAGTCCCTGGACTAAAGCAATCCCGGACGGACCTTTACAGCGCTACGCACAACACGGAATCCTAAGTTATCATGATAAATCAAAATATGCTCACGTTTACACCAATATTCCCGCGTATAGCGACTGGATAGAATTACTGGCGTTAGACGCTGAAATCATTATTCAAGATAATAAAGTACTGTACTGAATTATTCTTATTATTTGAATTAAACTCGTTTTCTTTTGAATAAAATCTTATCTTTGCTTTCCAAGAAGGCGGGAAAAAAACAGCTTGAGTCACCGATAAGCATGAAAACCTCTGTGAGCGCAATCGTCGTTCAAATTTAGTTCTTCATTGTATTTTCGTTCGAAATGATGAGTGGCGCACTGTGGATTGCTCTTGGTTCCTTGCTGCTGTTTCATCTCGGATCGGCACAATTTCTAGAGGACGTTTGTGGATTTTATAATCCCCATAACGGGGGTAAATTCCCTCCATGGTCGGCCGAAATTGGGAACGCTTCTAAGAAAATTTGCTCTGGCACTCTTATTAACAAACGTTTGTTTCTATTGTATGCAAATTTACATTGGATATTCAATCAAAGAATTTTATATTTTAGGCTTCGTTCTGACTGCTGCAAGTTGTATAATAAATCAAAAGCAACTGTAAGTTATAATTATAATTACCTTAACAAAAAAATAATTTTATCCTCCGCAGCATTGTTCGTCTGGAAAATAGCAATTATGCGGACAACTATGTAACAAAGGCTTACATCCACAGGTCATATTCAAAAGGCAAAAATGAGAATACCATAGGTTTGCTTAGATTGCAAAGGGAAGTGGAATACAGTTCTCATATACAACCAATATGCATTTCTACAAATCCGGAAGATCAAACAAGCGAGTCTACCTTTGAAAAAATTAATGAAAAGCCTGAAATAGAAGGTTGGTGCAAGTTTGCATCATTTTTTGGTGATGCTTGTGCTGATAAGAAAATTGAGAAATATTTAAAATCCAAGTTTATTGGAAGTCCCTGGAATGAAATAATCTCAGATGGACCTTTACTACGCTACGTACAACACGGAATCCTAAGTTATCGCAATCCAGAAACATATTCTGACGTTTATATCAATGTTTTTGCCTATATCGACTGGATACTGGAAAGGCTATCAACGTCTAGTTGATTTCATTATTCCACAATCCATACATATTAAATAAATATTTGGGCACATTCAAGATTTACAGTCTTATTTAATTTTTTTTAGCGTCTTTCTACGTTTGATCTGGAAATTTAATAGGATTTCCCGGATTCGAAAGAATTTAATTGAGTGTTTAAATGTACTTATATTTCTTTGCAAGTAAGCCTTATCTTGAGAAAAACCAGCTTGAGTCACAGATAAGCCTAAAAAAGTCTCTCAGAGCAATCTCGTCGTTCAAACTTAGTTGTACATTGTATTTTCGTTCGGAATGATGATTGGCGCACAGTGGATAGTTTTTTGTTCTTTGCTGCTGTTCCATCAGGGTTCGGCTATTTTTTTGGAAGAAAATTGTGGAGTCGTTGACCCAAAAGTAAATCTCAATCCTTGGTTGGCCGTTATTCAAAGCAAAGTTAATCCTAAATTTATATGTACTGGAACGCTTATTAACAAACGTAAGTAATCAAGTAATTAATTTAAAAGATCTTGAAGATTGTGAACTTTATTTTTAGGTTATGTACTTTCGACTGCTAGTTGCTTAGTCAACCAACGCGAATTGTAAGTCAAGAATACATTTTTCTACAAAATATTGACTACACTTTTTTATACAGATTCGTTTGCTTGGGGAAGTGCGACAGACCACAAAATAATCGTTATAAAAAAATTGATGCTGTGCACGTCCACGTCCACGAATCATATTTATCAAGCAGCCATCAGAATGATATTGGGTTGCTTAGGTTACAAACTGATGTCGAGTATAAGAAACATATAAAACCGATATGCATTGTCGTAAATCCCCAAGAGATATGGCCTAAATCAAAAATCACCAGCTTGCGGTCAGGCATAAAGGCCAAACCAAAATCATTTGAATCCTCATGTGGTGGCTTACCATGCAAGTCTATTGGGCAACCCCTGAGCATACCGTCTAAATCCAAAAAATATATCCAACATGGAATCCTAAGCTATCGCAACGCTACAACTTATGATTTCGTGTATACACACGTTATGTTCCATGCCGACTGGATTGTGCCACGCGCTCTGGATGTCGATATTAACATCTCTCCAGAAATTTAATTATTAAACAAAATTATATAAAACAACTGAGATCAGGATTAGATCGATAGCTTTGGCTTAAATTAAAAACACATACTAGAAATTCGAAAACGTTTCGATGTTTTCTAATTTCTATAACTATAAATAGCTATTAATAGTTTTGTTAACCATACTTAATAAATATAAAACTTTGTACGAAATTCTTACACCGAATTAACTCTAATTGAAATATGGGTCATAGTTTCATTTTTTAAAACTTATGAGTAGTACTTACAAAAAATTATGAATCATACTTGATTATATTATGCGTCAGAGCACACATAGAAAGCTATGAAATTCTTAAAAACCCTGATAAGCATATTTATTATAATAATGAGAGCGCCAGCTTTAAAGAGCTTTCAGCTTTAAATGGTAAAGCGGCTTTTCGTTATAAATATTTCAACGGAGTCTTTTAGTTTAGAATTATGAGTGCCGCACTCTGGATTGCTTTCTACATTCTGCTGCTGTCTTATCAGGGCTCAGCTCAATTTTTGGAGCAGAATTGTGGAGAATATAAGAATATTCACATTCCCTTTCCTTGGCTGGTTACAGTTCGAAATCCAACGAATTCTACATTCATCTGCGCTGGCACGCTTATCAACGAACGTTAGTAGTTAAAATAATTCTATTATTTATAGTAAATAAATAATTACAAGTTTCAATGATTTTTAAGGGTTTGTCCTGACAGCTTCGAGTTGCATAAAAAAAGGAATCAATCTGTAAGTAACATAACTAGGCTCATGGAGCACAAATACATTGTATTTTCTTAACAGCAACGTTCGCTTGGGTGAAAACAATATAAATATCACATATGAAGAATACGGGGTAAAGAATGCGATAGTGCACAGGTCACCGGAGCTGAATGATATAGCTCTGCTTAAACTGAAAGAGAATGTTGTGTATAAGTCTCATATACAACCGATATGCATTAATGTAAGTTTGGAAGAAAAATCCATGGAATCAACCTTTGAGATCAGCAGGGAAATTGCAAAAATGCCAGAAGAAGTCAAATGTAACTGGTTCAGAAAATTTCTCTCATATTTTAAATTAGCTAGTCCTTGTCTAAGCAACAAAAACAATGTCAATTTACCCCCCGAGCTTTTTGAAAAAGGAAGTCCTTTGGGCCAAGTAAACAACAAAGTTTATCATCAGAAGGGAATCCTCATCTATCATAATGATTCAACAAATAAGGACGTATACACCAATGTAAGGGCGTACGTCGACTGGATTTTACGAATCGCTCTGGAAGTGGATATCATTATGGCTCCAGAACTAAGTTTGTCACAAGAAGAGCTTTAGTTATTTTTACCAATATTGGTAATACTATTTAAGATAAAATATTAGATACATCAATTTGAAGCTGAAAATAGAGAAAGATTATTTTAGGTGTACAGTTTGGCTATTGGCCTGCTGGGCATCTTTTTGCTGCTATTTAATAGGCTTTTATGGTCTCTGACCAGAGGTCAGGATGGGTAATCTGGCCCCCAGACAGGACACCACACACACACATATCTGGCTGGGGTCCCTTTCTTTTATTGGCCTGCCATCGAATCAAACTTCGTAGTTGGGTTGTAAAAACACCATCATACTCATCACTAAATGCTGACAGTTTTTGCATTCCTCAGGGAATGGTTGCTCGGACTTAGGCGGTTACTAAAGCTTATGTCTTATCAGTCCGACCCCTCTTCATATCCGTTTCCTTAAGCTTTGATTAGTTGTCCTTTATTTAATGTCTTGCTAAAGAAAATAAAGTTTGTTTCACTCTAGGTAAGATTAAAGTAGAAGGAAAGTTGAAAAGATGTATGGGTGTTAATCTCCCTTTAAAGGAAAATTTGTTTTAAAGAATATATATATTTTTTTATGAGTATATTAATCATTAGTATTTTCCCCATTATTCTCAAAAATTAGAAGTATGAATCATTAAATATAACATGCATAATTTATATCACGAACTACGAACTAGATTAATTGAATTTCCAGACCTAAAAACCCATATCAAACGCCAACTATCAAGAAATTTGATTACAAATCGATTGATTTGAATCATCGTTTATTAAATTTCCATTTTATCGTTGACCGCAGCTGATTGGAAAAAGTGTTAAAAGGGTGCCGCAAAAAAGTCAATTTATAATTTTATCACACATCCTGACAGAGCATTCCCCCTTTTTCCGAATCTAAAAACTATTTCTATATAACCCAAATACACGACCACGGAAATTTTATCCAATTACAGCTTAACCTTTGACTTTAAAGTGAAAAAGTCGTTATGGAATTGGGGCGAATAACCCGGAATATGAGTCACATAAATTGCCTGCAGCTCCTAAATCCTCGTTCCCCATTTCAGGACCTTTGCGCCCTCGTGTGTGTCGCATTGTTTTTAAATATTGGCACAAAATCAAATTATCTGCTATTTGTCAATAAATAACTAAGGACAAAGGCGAAACTTTATTAAAATTCACCACAAAACGTTGCAGTTTCCGGTTTCAATTACGCCATAAATTTTCGGCTCTACACACCCGCACTTGGGGGCGGTTGGAGGAGGAGGGGCGTGGTCGTGTCGGTCATTGGATGACATAAATCCCATATTGAAATTTAAGGCCCCGTTGGCAACCTGTCGCAATTTACAACCCGTGTCCTTCCCGAGTCGACTCGGTCATCCCTTCTCCGGTATCCTGTGCCATTGCCCAAATACAACTCGTTTCACGAAACACGAAATATGAGCCAATATAAAAGCAATAAAGCTCGACATGCAAATAGAGCAATATCAAATCTGCCTAAATCGAAGGTAAGCCAATGAAATCCGAATATAAGTGATACCAGTACACTTGGGGAAAAATATTTAGAACATTTAATGCTCTCATGTTTGAGGATAATGATAATAAATTAGCCAACCATATATAAAAATTTAAAAATACATAAAATTATGTACAGTCAATTCTTTTTCTTCTAAATATACTTATCCTTATGTAATACTTCGATTAATTCTTATAAAATTTAAATTGCCAATGTACCCTTTTTAAAAGTGAACTCAAGACCTGCTAGCCTTCCGTTATGAATTATTGTAATGGGCGCCAAATGAAATTATAAATTTCATTGGCCAAGTAACTGGCACAGATCAAACGGCGACAGCATGCGGCCATAAACATTAATAACCAATATGCCAAGAGGCACGAGGTAGGAGGATTCGCCCGGTAAAGACAGGCGTGTGAAGCGCATAAACAAGCCGCAAAGGATTGCAGCGAAGAAAGGCCAGATCCTAGTTCTCCGGAACCCAGTTCCCCCGGCAAAGCCACTTTCGCAATTTATGGCAGCGGGGAAAAGGTGAAAAAATCGCTGGCAGAAAAGCGCGGCAGAGCAAGGAAAAGCAAAGTTTGTTACTTTGGCACGGCTTTCACCGATGATGCATTGATGCGGATTTAAAGTTTAAAAGGTTTCGCGGCCGCAGAAAAGAGAGAGAGAGAGAGATTCCTGACAGCCATTTGGCGTTTTGGCGCATAATAAATTCGAGCGGTAGACACACGGTTTAATTTATCATCAAAGGCTGCAAAGGCTGCTGACTGGCAATCAGGGCCTAGCGAGAGGCGAAAGGGAATTTATTGGACTAACTTACGGACAAGCCAGGCTTCGTGGCTTCCAAAGTGGCAGCAAGGTGTCTGTGCATAGTTTATTTCAAATTGGTTGCCTCTGCCAGCGATCCGCCAGCAGATTGATTGGACTGACGAATGAATGCTCATGAGGAGCGGGCTGCCCCTCCATCCCCATTCATTGTGCCTGGAATGGAATCGAGCTTAAAAATTCCATTATATGGTTTGCTGTTTTTGCAGCACTATTTGCCTTCAATTGGTTATTTATTGGCATTCATATTGGAATGTTTAAACAATATGCGGGGTCTGCGGAGGGGCGAGATTCACAACACAAAGGCTTCCACAGT